CCTCAAATACAATCATAATAAGACTTACGACTTTATTTTATGTATTCACAAGAAGGCCACAACTGGTAGAGGAGGTAGGCTAGAGCCACACAATCATTATCTTAAAAATCGTATTTATGATTTCCTGTTGTTTTATTATGACGACAATGAATATCCAATCGCATTTAAATAGTTTATAAAAACCATCAAATAATTCTGAGGCAAAAAATAACTTTAAAATTACTTACAGACCAAGCAAATATAATTGATGAGCGTTAAAGTCAATAACAAGGCGCACACATGAACACCATAAATAAATTCACCAAACTGACACTATATACTTCGTATAAGTCACATGCATTTTAAATTACATCACATTAATCAATTTGTTACTCCTTTTTTCAGACAATTTTTTTTAGCAGAATACATATCCTCTTATTTTTATAAGACTACTAACTTTTTATTTGTATCCATTGATTTTTAAAGTTGCACACTGCATTGGAGTCAGATAATTTGAGTCACCCATTTGATAATCCACAATAGTACTTTACATAGTGAAAATTATAGGGCCTAGTCCAATGTCAAGCTATACAAGGTTTATTTGCAACACTGCTTTATATACAAACAGATTGTAATTAAAAAATGAATCCTTTCCTATTTATAGAAAATGCAAAAGGTACTAAAATAAAATAGAAGAGTTATATTTTGGCAGTGAAATTTATATAAACTCATCATCAACACATAACCAATGACATTTCCTACTAAAACTTTAATCCAAACTATCAAAGTTTACCTGGTTTAGTGGGCTTCAGGTCTTCTGATTACTAAATGTATGTTTCCTACTGACCTGCTCAAACAAGAATCTAAATCAATTCAACCTTAAAAAATATGTGATAAAGACAAAATAAATAAAGACAATTAGAGCAATTCAATATACCAAACTTGGCATCCTTGAATATTACTCTAAAGGAGAAGCAAAAACTGGTACCAGCCTTACATACCACAACAGTAGTAAACTATTGTAGTATAAAACAACTGATCGAGTAGATAGAAAACAGCATATCCGTCCAGAACAGAAACGGCCAAAAGCGTATGTTGTATGTCAAAATAGGACGGGAATGGTTTGACACCACATTTCCTACCTACGGAGCATGGATATAATCTCCAAGGGAACATGCATTAGTTAAACAGTAGCGACTATTGTCATTTGGAGCATTACTCTAGGAAAGTAGATTTGATTCATCTTAGTAGCTACAACAAGTGTATCATTGTGTGTCACCATATGATTACCGAGTAGAAAAAAAAGCACGTAAACTTACTAAGTCACACTCCATGATAAGCCCAAAAAAGAACTAAAATATATGCTATAAGTATCTAAAAATTCATCTATTTGAATTACATGGGGTTGTCATGAGAACGTAGAAAACAATTTAGTACGGAGTACTCAAAACAAGTTAATAGAACTCCTATAACTCAATTTAGTAGTTTAACAAACTTCTTAAAACTCAATTTAGTGCCTAAAACTACTAATCAGTAAACACAACTTTTGTTGGAGCTATATCTGTATCACCTATACCAATTTGATATCATTTCACTCTAACCCTACTCAAATCCTAAAGTAGCAGGTTATAATTCAATAATCACACATTAATTGAACACTATTAACAGTGCATTTTCCTTGGGTCGTCTACCACATGTCCACCTCCTCTCAATCTTCACACCAGGACAGTTACCGACCAAAACCCTTGAAACTTAACTGAACTGGCACACATGTTAATTTTCTTGTTTTGGTTCTTATTTTATGGTAATATCAAGAACCTAACTCCTAAGAATCACATTCATCTTAGCTACTGTGCTAATTGCTTTTCTAAATATGCTCTTTGATATAAACTTTCAACTCCTTAAACCCCTGAATATAAAATTGGAAATGTCTATAACCCTTATGTTTATGAAGTACTAGTAATTGCGTAACTACAAACTGTAAACAAGCACGGTGTATTGGGAAAACATTTGCATGGTCAATATTGTGCAATTGAGTAAAGAGAAAGGTGAATTGAAAATATAAGAAACGAGAGAATGAGTATAAGGCTTACCTGAAACTGTGAAAGAGAAAAGGAGTGATTAATAGGAAAAAACATCTGCTAACAGAACAATATATACATGTATAAGGGGGAGGGGAAAAATTGGAGGAGAAAGATAAGTCAAATGGAGCAGATAATTTCATCCAGTGACAAGCCACATGTCTCCTAGAGCAGAGAAGCTCCGATCAATGGGTTTCACGTCAACATAACAGGGGATGGTTGTGATTGCTTTGCGATTGAGGAGTCTCTTTCACATCCATCTTAAATTCTTATTGATTTGAGATGAAACCAATAAATGGCGAAATGAAATCAGACATGGTATTTGGCTTATCTCTGGTATACCATGAAAAAAACGAAAATAGGGAAGTGAAGAGGCGAATAAGTGCGATGAAGACGGGATGCGTGTGGTCAAATGGGCCCTGAGCGGTTAATACTGGCTAGATGCTTGAAAAAAACCTAATCTTTCCTGCACCTTCCTTGCTCTTTTGGTCTCACCAATGACCATTTGATTGATCCTAGACCTGTTTTAGCTTAGAATAAACCTAATCTAAACACATTACAACTATTTTACAAACATAACTATTACACCAAAAGTGGGTAATATAATTTCCAAAGTATCAAGTAACAAAAACTAACTAAAAAATACAAATACATATGGAAATTACAAGCGTATCAAATATCATCCCTTGAGAATTGTACCATGATGTCAACATAAGTGGCTGTGATGTTAGCTCTAGAAACGCATGTATGAGACGCCCGAGAGATAGTTAAGTGCAGAACTGTAACCGAATTGAGGCGGATCAGGTCCCCTCGACCTAGTTAGATAGAGCCAGTTTATGGTCAAGAGTAATGAGATTCATCCTTGACCTCGCCGATGTAGCTCGACCATCAGTAGAATAGGCTTACATACGGTTTGCCGGGCCGAGACTACTCGTATATCAATAACTTTCTCTCTATAAATTTACTCTTTCATCTCTCTTGAACACAGTATTGATATCTGGTGTATTTGTAACCATGAAGAAAAAAGAAATAGGGATTTCATTAATTAATTTTATGTGTCTATATGGGGCTCAAGCCTCATATGTGCCATCAGTATATTTGAATCGTAGATGATATGTCTCATAAAAACTTACTTTCTCCTTCTATTTATGAACTTGGATTTTGCCACTTTATTTTTTAATAATAAAATAAAATCTTGTCACTTGGCCACTAAAAGGGAGATTTCCCAAAATATGACTAAATGGGGTCTGGAATTTCAAAATAGGACTGCTATATTTTTATTCCCGAAATAGGACTAACATGGCAGCGACAAATAGTTGCAGTACAGTGCATTTAACATGACATTATTTATCACTGTTATAAAAATCACTCTAGGCCCGACTATCCCCGCCTAGGCGCTAGGCGGTGGCTGCCCCCCCCCCCCCCCCCCCCCCCGATTTTAATATCTAGGCGCTCTGACTAATTGATTTGACACCTAGGTGAATTAGTCATTCACCTAGAGCGCCTAGTTGCCGACCCACGGGTTAATCGGTCGCCTAAGGCATCTAGACTCACCAAACATTTTATTTTGCTTTTATATTTTAGTTTCCTACGAGATATATGTACTCCCTTTAATTTTAGCAGCAAATATGAAAAGAGCTACAAGTTGTAGATTAATATAAAAACTAAATGTGTTGGTATATAATCTTAAATATTATTATTATTTAGTACTCCGTAATACTTATTACATAATGGAGTTAACTAAGTAGGTATAATATATTATCAAACGTGACAACTCTATATATCATTCATGCATGTTAATATGTGTATGTGTGTGTATGCATTTTATACACACATAATACAACGGTAACAACACAACGTTATTAATCATATTTATGTTAAAATATTGATAGAACTGTAATTTCCATGTCTCCGACTACTCCCCGCCTACGAGTCCGCTTAGGCGCCTAGAAGTCCTACTAGTGCCTAACGTATTTTTAGAACATTGATATTTATTATACGGAAAAGTACAGAAAATATACTTGTGGTTGGACCCGTTTTCAGATAGGGTCATGTGTTTCATTCTTTATCAAAGTGGTTCATGTGTTTGAATTCCGTTATCACAAGAGGGTCTTTTTCGTGACCCTCTTGTGATAACGAAATTTAAACACATAAAACACTTTGATAAAGAATGAAGCACATGACTCTATCTGAAAATGGGCCCAAACACAAGTACATTTTCCGTACTTTTCCCTTATTAGAATTAATGACGATATTTTTCAATCATGACAGAAACAACTCCTATTTCAGTTAGAAAAACATAGTAGTCATATTTTAGAATCTAAACATGATTTACTCTTATTTAGGACAATTTCCCCCACTAAAATTTTATAAAAATGAGAAAGGGAAAATGGAAACTAATAATCCAACCTTTTAGCGGTCTTCTTTCAATAATCCCACCTTTTGATTATTCATGAATAATCCAACCTTTGCATCCCATTTTCATTCATTGGTCCCTGGTCGGTTAATGACCTACTATTCCAAGTTATTTTCTTATCTTTTCAAAATATTATCTTTGTGAAAGATGAGATTTATGCTATAATGATTTGCAAAGATAAGAAAATAGTTTGGAATAGCAGGTCATCAAACCGGTCAGGGACCAGTGAATGAAGATGAGGTGCAAAGGTTGTATTATTCATGAATAACTAAAAAGTTGGATTATTGTAAGAAGACCGCTAAAAAGTTGACTTATTAGTTTCCATTTTCCATGATTCAAAGATAATTTAAGACATACAAAAACTATAGAAAACAGTTTACTTTGAATCATGTAAAATAAAAAGATAAAAAAAACTGCAATAGGAACACTGGTATTTTTCTCTAATTAAAAAAAATATGATTGCAGAATTTGGCAGGAATTATTATTATTATTATATTATTATATTACTAATAAGAAGAGAAAACTTTCAAAAAAAAAAAAAATAAGAAGAGAAAAGCATTTGGGGAAGTCGGGGGCACGTCTCCGACGGCATAATAAGAAGCAAATATAAAAGCCGACCGGCCGGCGAGGCGCGATGGAGAAGTCGCCAAAGACACCCAGCGGCGGCGGGACACCCGACGCCTCCAACAACAACACATCTCTAATGGAGAGTCTCTTAGGCCTTCTCAGAGTCCGTGTCAAGCGAGGCATTAACCTCGCCGTTCGCGACGTTCGCAGCAGCGATCCTTACGTTCTTCTCAAGATGGGAAAACAGGTCATCTTCATCACCTTCTTCTCTCTTATCCTTCTTTTTATTTTGGTGGGAAAAAATTCAATTTCTCTCGGAGATGCTTCAATTTTATTGTTTTGAATAATTGGGTTTGCTGGGGTTGTCTTTAATTGAAGAATAATGGGTTTCTTAAATTGTATAAACTATGATAATTTATTTCTTTTAAATTGTGTGTGCATTAATGGTATATTTTATTCCGGAGTATTGTTCTTTTTTTATGCTCTTGCAGAAGCTGAAGACCCGTGTTATAAAGAAGGATACTAATCCCGAATGGAATGAAGATCTGACCTTTTCTGTTTCTGATCCCGAGGTTAAAATTAAGCTGGTAAGTTTCCTTGATCATTTGGTAAGTTGAAGCTCTTTGATGTCGAGTTAATTGAGGATTTGATAGAACTGCTTCGTTCCCTTCTCAGCAATCTTTGATATATGCTGCTTGAGTACTAATATATGGAGTATTATCTTAGTTCTGTTAAATGCTGAAGACTGATGAACTCAAACATTGTATGGTTCTTCTACTGTTAATGCTGGATGACTAAATGCTAGTCATCCATAAACTTCACACTTTTTTCTGCATCAGCCGTGTTTGGGGTGTACCATGCTATGTGTAGTTGAACATTGCCCTCCCTTGTGTGTATTTATTATGAAAGCATAAAAGCAAATCTCTTAAAGCATAAAAGCAAATGTTTTGAAAAAAGATAGTTCTTATAGAGTTTTTTTTTCTGGATTTGTTCCCTAAGTGAAGAGTAAACAGATAAAACAATGCAAATGTTAGCGCCATGATAGTTTTGAATTTCGGACACTTATGAGATGCCAAACTTTGCTTTTCATTTGTGGAATAAATTATGTTATAGGCTCCGTTTGGGAGCCATTATTGGCTTATTATGCTTATCAGCCAAATAAGTAGCCTCTTTCCTTATTTTACATCAATGAAATGGATATTACCAAACACTTTTCTTCTTCATAAAAGTCAACAAATTCTACCATTTGAACTAATAAACCCTTAACAAACATGCCCACAACGTTACCGTGTTATTATTTATTGCAGTTGATTAATTTATGTCCGCATTTGGTTTCATTGGTTGGTGCTATATATTGCAGCAGGATATGTCAGCAACTTGCAGCTTCCTTATAAGATATATATAAACAATTCTTTCCAAATAATTTTCTGTTTTGGAATGGCTTCTAGTTCTCAGGAATTTGCTGAGGGAGGCCGTGATATAGTTGGAAATCACAATCTGCATTTTACTACACTATATACTTTTTAGTTCAGCATCATGGCCTAACTTGTACATCGATCCAATTCTGCCACGGCCTGAAGAAATAGTACTAGTTTCCAAGTTGCAAGGCTTATTAATCTTATTAATACAAGTGTCATTGTTATGTATATGTGCTGTAGACTGTGTATGATCATGACACATTCACCAAGGATGACAAAATGGGAGAGGCAGAATTCAACATTATTGCATTCATAGATGCACTGAGGATGAACCTATCGGGCCTCCCAAGTAACACGGTGGTTTCAAGGCTGAAGCCAAATAGAGCAATCTGTTTTGCCGAGGAGTCTCGTGTCATGTGGAAAGATGAAAAGGTGGTACAAGATATGTGTCTCAGACTCAGGAACGTGGAATGCGGTGAGGTGGAACTCCAACTCCAATGGATAGACCTTCCTGGTTGCAAGGGATTGTAGAACATAGTAACATACCACTTTACCGAGTGATCTTGTAGGATACGTACAGTAATGCCAATGTATTTGTAAGTATCAAATATTAAGGCTGTATGTTCAAATACATGGTTTTTTGCAATAAAATAAATGTTTAAAATGTTCAGTTTTTCTTTTAAATGTTCAGTTATATTGAAGTAATTTTAAGATAATTTTATAAAGTAATAAAAATTGATTTACTTGTTATTTAAGCTAGTACTCAATATTTGGCTTGTTTATAAGGTTTTTTTTTATGTATAAATCAAAACCTTTAAGATTGATAAGCTTGTATATCCGGACTATAAGCAACACTCCCTCCCTTTTCTATTGATTGCTAAAATATGGTTTGATACAATATTGGAGGGGGACACTACGGGTAGTGAATACTCCGTATTATAGAAAAATGAGTTTTTTTTCGAATAAATGTTAATTAATTAATTAATTGCGAAAATAATGCTGGAAAAAAGTATTTACCAATATGTTGCTGGGATTAACCACGGTCAGGGGTAAGTCGCCCAACGGTTGGACGACTTATAAGTCGCCAAACGGTTTGGCGACTTATAAGTCGCCCAACCGTTGAGCGACTTACCCCTGAAATATGATTGAAGGCGAGCAGCTACTGCCAGCCACGCATGATCGTGCGTACCTTGGGACGCACGATCGTGCGTACCCTGGGACGCATGATCGTGCCTAGGTCCGAAAACAACATTTCAACAGATTTTTCGCCCCAGTTCAACCCGGACTCATCTGTTTGCTATAAATAAGGTCTCTCTTCTCATGTTTAAGTGTTACGAGCCAGATACAACACATTATAAAACATACAACACACGTCTTCACAATCACATACATAACACCTACTCTCAACAACATAAAAAACACCTTGAAAATACCCTTTACAAATCAAATACAAAACCTTACATTCATAACCGGTATAACACACTACAATCATCCAATATTCATAACAAGTAATAAATCTAATATTCATACTCGAACACATGAAGACAACATACAAGACTTTACAAGAGAAAATACGTCAAATGTTGTAAATTGTTCCTACAACATCTACTGCATAAGAAAAACTACAATACGAAAGACAAACTACAAGTTCCCATCGTCAGCTTCGTCATGGAGATGTTGCTGCTCATGTCTACGCCTACGCCGTTGTCGTGGTTGAAGAACCACTCTCTCATGCTACGTCTGGGATGATGAAGCCGCCGCTGCACTAGACGTGGATGGCATCTCCTGAGATGGGGGCATGTGTATAAGATGGCCGTAGTCGACTCGCCCCAACACATCTGAACACAAGGACGCAATGCCTGTCAGAGCCTGTCCATACATGTCCACATCATGACTATCAGTCACTGTGGCAGTAGCCCGCTGATGTATGCGCTGCAAAGCTCGTGTCTGAAATATGAAAGACAATTACATTTACATTGAAATACATACAAATATTACATAAATATGAACGAGTTATGTGGTTTAATTAATGAGAATTAGGAGACTTGGTTTTGCTTTTATCCACTTAATGAAATGTTCGTCGATCCCGGTTATATCTTTAACTATCTTCCTCTCGAATACTCAATCGAGGAGTATATCCAATTCATCGAGGGTAGTTATTAATAACGAGACGCGTTCATTAATAAAACTTACTACCGAGTTAATATAGAACACGCGCCGTATATTCACTCGATAGTAGCAATAAAATCAAGATGAAAACGATTGAGATTGATAACCTCAACACAAGCGGTTTATTGGTTTAATCAATATAATTAATTCCCCTTGGTTTATTAACCATGAAACGCATGCATTAATAACCCAAGTTTACTACCGTGAAAGGACCAAATTAATAACAAGCGTATTAATCGACCGATTCTAGTAATAATTAATATATGAAACAAAACTAGTTGATCCTTTAAGTAATGTTCAAAATATTAATATGAAATATGAATAGGAATTAATTAATACTCGAGGAAGAATATTAAAGAAGATGAATCCTACTATAGTTAATATCAAGATGTTAACTAATTGTCATCTTAGTAACACTCCCCAATATTAACATAGAGGAAGAAGTAGCTATTACTATAACTAATGTCAAGATGTTAACTAATTGTCATCTTAGTAACACTCCCCAACATTGATATAGAAATAGTATTTAAAGGAAGAATTAATATTCAAGGAAGAAGATTAAAGAAGATAACTCACAACTTACAAATTCATTAAGCTTCAAAGTAGCAAAACCAAGATGGAAGAGTTTAGCTCCTCATTTGGAGACTAAACATGATAGAAAATATAAAGAAAACACTAATCTAAACTGAGCTAAAGAGTATATGTGAATTGGTTCTTTTATTGTGAAGGAAAGGGGTGTATTTATAGGCTTTTGGGAGCTGCAGGGTCTGATACCCGACCGGGTATATAGGATACCCGACCGGGTATCTCAGGAAATTGCCCAGAAAGTCACTTTTCTGGGCATACCCGATCGGGTATGTCGGCATACCCGATCGGGTATGTGACAAATCTTCACGAAAATTTGCTCCCACGATCATTTGTTCCCGGATTTGATTTGGACAATCGAATCAAGTGAATACCCGATCGGGTATAGGCAATACCCGACCGGGTACATGAGTATTTTTTCCAAATCAAAATCTTTCTTGTCTCCTTGCACTTTCCTTGATCTTTTAAGGTCCAATCTTGATCCCTTCGATGATCTTTGACCTGTTTAGCTCAGAATAATCCTAATCTAAACAAATTACAAATAAAAATGAAAATAAAATATTACACCAAAAGTGTGTAATTTCCACAACTACAACTAATAAAAACTAGTTAAAAATACAAACATACAATCGGAAATTACACGAATATCAACTCCCCCACACTTAGCTTCTTTACTCGTCCTCGAGTAAAGTCAAATGTTTAACACTTTCAAATCCTCAAAAGTTCAACAATCAACAAGAAAAAGCAAAAGACCACCAAGGATAAAACATTATTTTTTTTACATTGAGTTTTTAGCTCAATAAAAAAATAACATCTTCTTGGGTTTCATGGCCTTCTATGCTCTTTTTTTTTCTTCACCTCTTTTATTCTTCTTTTCCGTCAAGAGATTAAATGATGTTCTGCAAAAACAAATATATCTCTCATATCCCTCATTTTGCCTAGGAGCCTTTTCAGGTTTTCATCCTAGCATCTCTTTTTGTTTTTCCATCCTTTCCAATTCACTCATTTTTTTATAAGCCCTTTTTGCTTAGATTGCCCATTTTTGGGTTTTCAACCTAACTAGCATTTCTTTTTTTTTCTTTTTTTTTTGTGAAGAAAATAATGCAAGTTACAAGGTAGAAAAATTAATTGCGTACCAATGAGTGACTCCCCCTCACTTAACTCGAAGCACTGTCCCTAGTGCTCGTCTCCGTAATAACCTTGTTGGAATGTACATCATTGTAGCCCTGAATCGGTCCCCTAGCCTGTGAACTTGCGGCCCTGTCCCACTTTGGTGCCATTGATTGCCTTTTTTGGAGCTTGAATTTCGGGGGGCTGGGGTTTTGGGTTTTATGGAGAGGAGAAAATATGGTTTTTTTTGTTTGTATAGGGGAGTGTTTTGGTGGTGGTATGAGGAAGTTTGGGTGAGTATTGATGGAGATAGTGAAGAAAGAAGGTTTAAAGATGAAGGATTTTGGAGAGGGGGTTCGAAAATGTGGGTTTCGGGCTAAAAACTCGGGTACCCGGTCGGGTGCCGTGACATACCCGATCGGGTATACGCGGGTTGGCTTGTTCCGGGGTCGGGCCCGATCGAGTTGGGATAATACTCGATCGGGAAAATCACGCCGTAGGAATTCCCATAACTCAATTAAATATACCCGACCGGGTGAATTGAGTTACCCGGTCGGGTGGAACAAGATTTGCTTTTTCTTTGCCTTCCTCGCCCGGGTGATGGGGCGGGTGTGATGTTTTTAAAAGGTACCCGACCGGGGTCAAAGTGAGACCCGACCGGGTATTTGCCCCAGGCCTAACTTTTTTTTTTTTTTTTTTGAAAAGTGCAAAAATAAAATAAAACAAGTAAACGTACCTTGCATGGGTTGCCTCTCAAGAAGCGCCTCATTTAACGTCGCGGCACGACGCCATCATTGTGTTCAATCGTTCAAGTTTGGATCGTGATAACTTATCTTCTTCAAATTTTCATTCCTAGGACTTTCATAGAAATGCTCAATTTTCTGACCCTTCACTTTGAAAATCTTTCCAGGATCAAATATCCAGATTTCCATTGACTTATGTGGTGAGAGTGAGGGAAAAAATGTATTGTTTAGCATGGTGAATGGAAAGTGTTTCGATCCCACAATTTCGCCAAAGATTTCAAAATTGTCATTCTCTTTTTCAATTTTATGAGTTTCCCTCAAAGTTTTTAGAAATGTTGGGGGTACCTCAAAGGATGATAAGGTCAGATATTGGACCTTGCAACTCGGTTCATTCTCTTCTTTGACCAGCTGGAACTCCGTGTTTCTTTCTTCTTGTATTTCTTCTGGATTTGGGATCTCTTTTTGCATTTCCTTCTCAATTGTCACTGTGATTGCAAAAGTTTGCTGTTTAGGATCACATTCTATTTGAGAGGAAAGTTCTCCTGAATCCCTTGCTTCAAGCCCACTCACGGCTCCGGCTATTTGACTCACTTGAGTTTCCAAGTTTAAAATTCTAGACTTGGTCTCATTTTGGAATTGCACCATATTGTTTTGCATGGTGGTCATGTTGGTAGTGAGAGTCCGAAGCATGTCCTCCGTAGACATGTTAGAGAATGGATCATACATCATGTGAGGTACTTTCCTTTGGAAGTCAACATAATCAAAATTTTCAAGGTATTCTTGTTGGAGCTTTGGGCAAAAATCCGTAAGATGTCCGTGAGACATGCAAATGTTGCAGGTCTTGACATCTTGAGCTTTTGAGCTTAAGATAAACTCCTTTATTAGAGAAGTCAAGAAGGAAATTTGACTCTCTAAGGATGAAATGTTGGTATCCATATACTCATGTAAGCTCAGAAAACAGAAGAGTAAGTGTTTTTTTTTTAGTTTTTTTTTGTTTTTGATTTTTATGAGATAAAATAAAAAGAAAAATAATTTCCTTTCCCCGGCAACGGCGCCAAATTTGACGTGCACTTGTCGTGAGGTGCACTCAAAGTAATATTACAATACAACACTTATACGTAGTATAGCGTAGTAAGGTTCGTATCCGC